TTACAATAAAAAAAAAAAAAGAGAAATGGAGATTTTCAGTGATATATCTCAATATCGGGGAAAACCACTCGTATCTCTGCAACGATCCCGTAACAATTGTTTACACATAAATTATTTCTTCTTCTTTCATATATTCGTGTACATCGTGGTAGATGACAGCTCGTTCGATTAGACATTCGGGTCGTGTCAACGTTATACCGTCAACGAAAATTCTATTTGAACGTCTGCGCAAACGAACGTGTGTCACTTTGAGCATTAGCAGAGAGGTTCAACGTTCGGCCGGTTTCGAGTTCGTTATCGTCGCCAGTGTTCAAGACGCGTAGCGATTTTCAAATGAGCCCGGGGAAGGGTGAAGGTGTTGCTTTACCACGTACATAACGTGTTGGCATCCTGACGTCATTCGCGGCACTTTCTGCGTGACGTGCGCGCACCCACACTCTCGTTAGCACGCAGACTGAACGTACATACTACGGCACGAAATCACCGCTCTGTATAAATATTTGCACACCCAACACGACAGATATTTTTGTTAAATTTTTTTCTCTCGACGAATCTCGATCTCTCTTTGATTTCTCTTTTTCCTCTACGATTGCCTTTTCGTAAAAAAAAAAAAAAAAAAAAAAAAAAAAGATGATGGACAAAGGGTAAATCGGTGTCCAACGAGATAGATTTTAATTTGATGCGATACCGGACCGTTTCCTTATTTCGTTTTCCCAGAACGTTTGATTAATTGGGATACCATGATCTATCGTCTTCTCTCCTCCGACCCTTTTTTCTATTCCTTGAATCTCTCTTTTTTTCCTTCTCCATTGTGTGTACAATCACCACGGCGTGGGCGTAGAAAAGGATTTTCCGGTGTACGACTCGCCCACGCGGTTCACCAGAGACCTGTCACTGTGCTCGGGCCTGCTCGATTATAAACGAAATCGAGGGAGGAATTATGAAAGGACATTTTATTCTTGCTCCTTGATGCTCATTTGGAATGTTGTCAGGAAATTTCGAAGCGAAATTTTGATATCGATTGATATCGTATTATTGGTAATTATCTCGTGATTGTGTGATAAATAATGATATTATAATGAATTGAAAAATATGGATTTTCGTTGGTTGAAGTTTTTTAATTGAAAGATTTGCCATGAAAATGACAACGATAACGAATAAATTTCGTTACGTGTGATTAAGTTTTATAACTTTGTATAGAAATAATTTTGTTATATTTTGAAAAATTGAGAGATACGTATCAATCATGTGAATATCAATTTTGTCTTTTTTAAACATTGTTTTATTTGTTCAATTCTAAACTTTTTAGTGTTTTGCTGTTATATTAAAATTTCAAAGAATTGAGGATACGTGTATCAATTTCATTTTTTTTTTCTACTATTATTTCATTCCATTTTTATTTGTTCATTCTACAATGTTTCTACAATGATTTACACAATTGAATTGTATTGTATTCAAAAAAATACTCAAAAAAAATATGATTTTATACAGCTTTTCCTATAAAAAATTTTTCTTGATTTACTTTCTTTTAAATTTATGAAAACGTCTGTTTTTCACTTACTCTCTCAATTTTGTAATAATCTGAAGTAATTTTGTAATTTTAACAAAAGAATATTTTTCTATCTTTTTAAGAGAAAAATAAAAATTCTTGACAAAGATTATTTTCGTTGTGAATCCTTTAATTTTACATTGAAGAACAAAATCAATTGACTTATATTCCTTAAAATTTACTAGAATTTTGATTATTTTAATATTATTATAAAAAGAATTAACACTGATAAAAATTTTCTTAATAATACTATTTTATTATGCAAAAAGAATTTTGATAGACAAATATTTGCAAATTTTTAAATTTTAAAATATAAAGAGACGTAATAAAGGGAACGAAAATAAAGAATTTTTTCCCTTCTGAGAGAAAAATCTATATTTACGAAATTTTGATTTGAAACCGTATTTGTAAATTTCCTAACAAGGTTTCAAATTCATCCTATATGGATCACATACAATGCATATACTATATATTGTGTATACATACGTATACGTATTAGATACGTATATATATATACATGCATATTACCTATATATGAAACATGAGTTGCCCAATCGAATGCTAAACAAGCCAATTATAGCGATACTATGACCATTAGAATTCGACCTTTGACACTGACAAAAAAACTTTCTTAACAAATAGGTGTAGAAATATAAATTTCTTGGTTTTATACTTATGGTATAAATTGAGAATGTCTTGCGAGATACTACAGTTTCTGATAAAATTAAAAAATAAAAGAAATATGATTTAAGTTCATTATTCTCTTTTATTACTTTCGTTTTATAAAATATATCTAAAATATAAAATAATGAATTTAATAATAAAAGCTAATAATAAATTCATTTTTTTCATCTTTTGAATTTTTTGTTCTTTGAATTTTTTCACTCCATATTTCTTGATTATATCTTTTTTTTCGAATATTTTCAATATTTTCTTTTTATTACAACATTTTATATTAACTAATTAATTATTTTAAATATTTTTTCATCATTTAATTAATTAATATTAAAATCTTTTATCAAAAAGATAAAGATTTATTTTTCTTTTTAATTTCTTTCCTTATGTTTTTTTTTTTCGAGTTTTTTAACCCCATATTTTCAATTTTTCTTCATAATTATTCTAGATTTTTTTTCTTTGTTTGATTAATATTTAATATTAAAATCTTTCAACAAGAAAGTTTATTCACATTAATTCTTATAGATTAATAAATATCATAATACATAACATACATTTTCTTTCATGTTATCAACATTTGGCCATTTCATATTTCTAAAAGACCAACCTCCAATTTCAACAAGATAACGCAATTTCACTATCGATACATTCTATACAATAAATCATTCTCAATTTTCACGAGATACACTCTCCCTCCCTCTCCCTAATCGATCTTTCATGGAAGATATAAAAAATTAAACGACCCCTTGACAAACATTTCGACAAGAAATACAAAGAAACGAAAATCGAGTGTTGACTACGTTAACGATATTAAACATTCCATTATCAGTTAGATTTTCCAGTTAGATTCATCGTTTCATCGTTTTCCTACCGCAAATAACCGGTATGGACCGAAGACACGCTTTTTTACGATCCATGTAAAACACGGTAAAACATCGACCTTCTCGTTCACAGGGCAAACATAAACTTAAGGAGAAATCACTTGCCGTTTTTCATCTTTCGAGAAAAGAAAGAAAAAAAAAAAAAAAAAAAAAAGAAATAGAAAAACCGAGCGAAACATACGCTTCTATACTCGTAGATGTGTCAATTCGTGGCGCGAAATACGAGCGTGGCGCGATCAGTCGGTAAAAATGGGCAGGGCAACAATGAAACATAAATTTCGAGACGGCTTTATCGTCCGGTGATTAAATAGCGAGACCAAGAGGCGACGATACGTTCGGTGCAACGATAGGAACGAAGTTAACATTCGTAACGGGTGTATAAAAGCTGACCCATTATTTGCACGGAACATTGGTAAAACTAGAAAGATACATTGGATGGTTAAACGTTCGATAAAAGTTGGAAGATACATTGGACGATACTCGTTTTGGAATATGTCATATTTTTTTAAAGTTTTTTTTTAATTCCCTGATAATAGAAAAGTAATATAATATTTTCGAAGAAATAAGTTGATTGTTTTACTTATTTAACTTGAAAGTTACTCTTACCTAATCTATAATACTTAGCAATAATATATTATCTGTTATTATATATATAATATATAATATTTTATTTAACGAATAACTAATAACTGTTTCCTTTTTAATTTTTGATCTAATGAAAATGTCAATTAATTTATTATTTATTATTTATTATTATTTAAAGTTGTTTTTAAACTTTTCTTTAGTAAATTAATAAATGGCAGCTTGCAATATTTGTAACTTTTATGTAAGATATTTATGTAAGATATTTATATTTATAGTAATTTTCTAAATAAAACTTTTTGAATAATTTTGAGGATTTTTATGCAAAAAAAAAAAACTAATATTTTAATTAATAAAAAATGTATTAATTTTGTATTAATTTTAATATTTTAGAATATTTTAGATGCATGTAACAATTATTGTTTAAATATTTTCAAATATTTAACACCATCGTGTTTTATTCTTTTTCAAAGTTATAAGCAATATTAAATTAATATTTCAGCATGTTTCAGCTGTTATAACCTAATTTAAATTCATATAGGGAAAGTATTCTGAATTCTTTCAAAGACAGTGTATTTGCTTATACAAAACTGTTTAAAAGCTACGAAATATAATATGGATGAATTTTATATTTATGAGAAAAAAAATTCTAATTTAATTCATGTCTGCATATTTAAATAATCTCCATATCTAAATAAATGAAATCTAGATTAAAAGTTTGATTCATTAAAATTTATTTGACCTGCTATGCTGCCGACTAGAGATTTCTCAATAGAATTAAAAATATTAAAAATATAAAAATATAAAAAAGAAAAAAAAGAAAAAGAAAAAAAAATTATTGCCTTGCATTTTCTATAAAATTTCTCATCCATTAAAGAAAGATATTTACTAATTAATACAATTTTATTAATTATTATAATTTATTTTAAGTATAAAAATTATATCATAAAATATAATTTCCCTCTTCTTTCTAAACTCATTCAAATAAAAATTATACACGATCTTTTAATTAATCATCTTAAAAATTATAAAAAAACAAAATTAAAGATATAATAAAAGTCTTCATTATCCCAATTTCGATTATGTAAATAATCGATTATATAAACACAAAATCATATCGTAGTGTGTTTTAATTTACATTTCAAAATATATATCATGTGAATTTATTTAAAAACAATTATATCAATTTTTTCTAATATATTCTAATACTAATTTCACAATATATTTAATTAAATTCCATCTATTTTAACCACTTGGCCAAACTGACTAATTCGATAATATACGCTTAAATCGATGCTCAATCATATCAGAAACACAAAAATACAAAAACAAGATAAAGAGAAAAGAATAAAAGAAAATAAAAAATAAAAAATGATTGTCTCACTGTTTATCATAATAATTCCCATTCCTCCATCACTATACTCGAGATCTCTCCCGCTTTATTTCAAACGGCACCGGGGACATCGAGTACTGACCAATCGAAGCCTCGACGATCACGAGAGTCGATGCTCCAGAGTACTCGGGGGGACTGTTTCCGAGCATCGGATCTGCAATCGTCTACTCATACTACTGAATCGCATATATCCACTGTCTGTCACGATGTTGCATCACGCGGTAAGACCGACAGCTCGCTCCCCGCAAATGTCGATGATTGGAGCGCGGTTGGTGGCCTCGAGTATCGCTTTTCACTGTACTTTATATTCTGTGTAGAATTGGACGAGCTAAAAAAAAATTTATTAATTAATTAAAATTTTGAATAAAATTTGAATTGGTTATTATAACTTTATCGTAGGTTTCGAATAATTTAGAAATTTTTATTAATGACAAATAGCAAATAAAATTAATACTTTAAATGTAATGTAAATAACGATTAATTTTTTCTAATTCGCATAAAAATCATTTGAATATTTTCAAAAGTAATTTATTTTTTTTCATTTCTTATTTGCAATTTCTTTTTTCTTTGGAAATGGATTTTACTTATTATTCGTTTTCCATCTAAATTCAGAGAAAAAATTATTCTTGAAATTATTTACATGATATTCGAAGTCTTCGATAAAAATTGAAAAAAATCACGGCAATTAACATTTATTCATATTTATTATATATTAACCTTCAGGCATTACAGTTAACTGCAATTATTCGATGCTTTGAATAATAAATTATTAATCGAGTTAACTTTATTTTTAACCGTTGAAATTTTTGCCCCATTCTGGTCCAGTACTCCGCATTCAGACGCGTCGAGTACACGCTCTGGTCTATCTTCCGTGCGTAATCGTGCACATGTGTGGGTGGATACACTTGTGTGGGTGTAGAACACTGGAGTATCGAGCGCGCGCGCTTACCAGCTCGAAAAGCGGAGGACACTGCACGAGAGAGATGGCCTTAACACTGCTGCTGCTGCGAGCACACGCACGACTGCATATATATATATACATATATATATATATATATATATATATATATTTGTATACGTATATGTATATATTTATTATATGTAGACACATATATAAAAAGAGAAACAAGATGAATGTGTGTGTCGAAGCGAGAGAATCACGCTCACAGTGACAGAGTCTTTCACCCTCTCTTTCTGCCTCGTTTGTCGCGCGCGTGGCTCTTTCGACAGGCGCGATCATGCACGTCAAGAGTGAAAACTGTGCCAAACGCTGCGAGAAGCTCCGGGAAAACAAGCTTTCAGCCGTTGCCCGTTTTCCCTACCGCAACCGCTGCCTTTAACGGGTCCATCGTTGACCAACTTCTTCTTTTTTTTTTTTCGATATTTTTTTTGCCCTTCCTTTTTCCCCCTCCCCGCTCCAAAATCGGATTTTTAGGTACACGAGGGAATTTTCTTGATTTGTTATCGCGGTATTCAATTTTGCCACTGTTTTTTTTTCTTTTTTTTTGCGTTACTTTTGACCCAATTGTACAATTTTGTTGTCATTGAAATGTCGTTTCTTAAAATGTGGAACAATCGTTTAACATGTAATATGATCTTAATTTTATTAATGGTATCAAATTTGTTACGTTAAATTAAATTCTGTTCCGAAGATGTCAATAATGTCTTTTTATTTGTTAAGGTGAGGGAGGGAGAATTTCGAATAGAAAAATTATCGTAGGATGATAACAGGTTTTTGACGAGATTTTGATCATAATGGATGGAATTTGCGTTTTTGAAGATATAAATTTGAATTAAATTTCAAATAGTTTTTAATTGACTATATTTTTCTTTTCATATCAGTTGGAATTAATGTGCAATATGTGTTTTATTATTGATAGCTATATTTAGGTAGCATACATTCGAGTTAATTTGATTCCACTGCCTTTGATAGATTAATCGTTGATTAATTGCTTTTCATTTTTTTAATATTTTTAAACGAGATATATATATATATATGTATATAAATTTATTTCCTCGTCTAGGTTAAATGCGGTTGCGCTTTTTTGATGGCTGAATTTTTTATCGAGTATTTTAGATACGAAAAATAAAAATACTTTTGGTAGTTTGCTTGGATTCTATCCCATGATTGCTATTTTTAAATGAATTTCAACTTTGTTTTTTATGTTTCCCATATTTATTTGAACGAATTATATACTTGATAGAATTTTTACACAATAAGGAAAATTTTTAATATTTAGCTCTCTTTGATGAATTTATTTGTGATTTATTGTTTTCTCTTTTTCTTATATTTTTTTTTAACTGAGAAATTATGGAGAAATTTCGTTTACTCGTTAGATAGAGTTTTCCTTCTTTGATGTTCGAAGTTTTTGGTTGAATTTTTTATCAAATACAATTAAATATAACAAATAGGAATTTAAGTAATGCTCAGACTTTCATCTCTGCAATGTTTATTAATTTAGTTTTCTTGCGTATTTTTCAGTGATTAGTAGCAATTTTTAATTAAACATTATGATACATCACAAATATCATATTTATCCTAATCACTTATATGTTATAAAAGAATAAACTATTTTGTTATCTGTTGCTTATCAACTTTAATTTTAATATGAAATGGTACAATTCGATGACATAACTTATAAACATTGCATTGTAATGCAATAAAAATTGTTGTTTTCAACAACAATTTTTCATTTTATGTGTTTCACAAATATGTTTAAAATATAATTTTGATATTTATTCTGGGAACAGAACATTTTAATACCACCAATTTTTCATTAATGTACGTCACGTTTTATGAATGTATACGTAGTCTTTTATTCTTGTTTGAAAAAAATGATTTTTATTTAACATCTAAATTACAAAAAGAATAAAGATGTTAATTTATTAAATTTTTTAGATACATTTATTTTTGTAAAAGCATATTTTCATATAACTAATTTTAATCTTTATTTTATATAACATATATAATGTATAAAATTTGATTATTTTAAAACAACAGAAATAATTTAAATTTATTTTTAACTGTTTCCATTGTTCCAAACGAAAAAGTTCTTTTTAATTAAAATATATTCTTAGTAGGAATAATTTCATAATGTCTTTAAAAATATTTTCATTTATTATTTTCTCGTTAAGAAAAAATCATTAAACATATAAATATAAATACAATCACGCAAGTAAGAATTGATAACTATTGCAAGACGAATGATTGACCTATTCTACTTTATAACAAATGATTGATTTATATCATTTGTCTGAGTAAAACACTGTCTTGATTTTCTTATTTTATTACGATTGTCTTATTTTGCTTCTAAAAGAAATAACCGATCTATTCTTCTCTTATAAATGATTGATCTATACCACTTGAATAGCAAATAAGCAAATCTATACTACTTCGGCAAGTTACCGAAGTTTTTATTTATTTTCTTTGACCATGATTCTCTTATTTTACTTTTCGAGGGTATGACTGATTTATACTACTTGTTGAGTATCTTAGTCTACTTGTTTCACTGTGACTATCTTATTTTTATTCTCAAAGAAATGACAATGAAACTTACAATAACTGAATAGTGATTTTTTTTCAATATATATAATTATATTGAAATATAAATATAATTTCAATATATTTTTTTTTTGACAAATAAGAAATTAATTGTTTTTTTAATTAATTCTTTGTCTATCTAACAATGTATTTATTTTGTTATGTTTATTTATTATTAGAATTATTTGTAATGCATTCTTAAATATGTTATAAATAACTGATTAGAATACATAATTAAGATATTTATCCCAATAAAAATTGATTTTGACACAAACATTATAATAAATTTTTAATAATCATGAAAACAAAATATTATAAATTTATCATTTCTACAAACTCGATACTTATAAATAACAAAATAAATCGAATTTCTGTGTGATTAATCATCAATTTCCACGAAGCTTTGAACGAATTGTCAATTAATATTTAAAAAATGATGGAAAAACTATCCCATTTATACGAGAATGGACAATTTCTATCCCCATCGACGAGAGAACGATAATCTCGAAAAATTATTTGACTGTTGCAAGCAATAATACCGCCAGGACATTACCCTATTTTTCATTCATTTATGTATCTTTCGGTCGTTCTTGCGATCCTTCCGAAGAAGGAAACTGTTATCCTGTTATTATCCTCACTAGCATTCGAGTTTTATTCCAAGATAATAAAAATTTTATCGGGCTTCGTGATTTTTATACATCTTAGTTTCGTCCTCGGTCCGTTTAACAGGAAGGCCGGCAAGGATACGAGGTTTTTACCTCGTTAAAACGTTGAAACGGCAACGATCCGTTTCGAGGCTTTGATGAAAATTTGAAAAACTTGTGTTCACGAGATGGCCAAAAATCATGACGACGAGCTTTTCGGGTTGTCTAAATTGGTTTTGTAAATACATTTTTTATAACGTGGAAAACAACACGTATAGATTCTTGGCGTGGAAATATACACATCGTATTTTAATTATTCAAAGGAACGAGAAAGGATAATGAAAATAAAAAAGAAAAAAAAAGAGCTTGGGGTAGGTAACGTTAAAAAACGTCCTCTTGATATTTCAAAGTTAATTTCCACGAGATATATTTTTCCTATTTTTTTTTTATTCAAAACACGAAAATACGCGAAACTCTTTTCTTTTTTTTTCTTTTTTTTTTCGACCAGCTTTTCGAGAGAAATTATATTTTACTTTCTTAAACGCGATAAATTATATATATATTTTATCACACATTTATGGATATGGAAGATATAGTGAGAAAGTGAAATGAGTTTTACGTGTATGTCATGAATAATTCTTTTCGATCAGGAAATGTAATTTTTTTTTTTTTTTTTTTTTTTTTTTTTAGTATATAAGTATCATTAACATACCTCGAGGAAGCTGTAAATAAATCACGTGAACTCCCACGCTTCTTTCCCTGTTGCGTCTGGGAATACCACGAGCTTTTTTCCGGCCTATTGTGGCTTTTTGCGGGCACAAGAACAGCTTAACACATTGAATGTTCGTGCCAAAAAAAATCTTATTTAAGGAAGAGATAAAAATATCAAGAGAAAAACTTTTGATTATCTAGCCAATTTAAAAATGAAATTCGATTTTTGAATATTTCTTAAAGTATAACAATTTAGCATCAATTTATCGATCGAAGAAAATGCGATTTTTAATTTTTACCTTAGCATAATTTTAGCTTTCAGCATAAATCTGTATCTCTGAAATTATTTACTTAAGATTCTTCAATGAAAGCAATATTAAAAACATTCAAAATATTAAAAACAATCCGAATTTCGTAAAATTCTATTTTTTG